CTCTTGCATTCTCTTTATGCTGACGCTTCTAGTGTGTCCGAATCTTATTGTCCTTTGTTCTCTAGCTTAGGCGTAGCACCTGTGTGTAGTACAGACTTCCCTGCTGCATCAGGCATAGGACCGTTTGCTTTGTCCAGCCTAGGCTATACACTTGCTCCCTCTTCGTCGGCGACTACTGCCTCGCTGTCCTTCACGCTCAACTCTAGTGCGTCTGCCTGCTTCTTCCGCGACCATGCCACACTCACGCTGCTCGCAACCCGTGCCTCTGTCGCTCTTGCTGATCCCTCTTCTGGTCCTGTCGTTGCTCGCAGCTCCACTACCCTTCCCTGTCCAGCGGCCCCCTCGGGCTCCCTTACAACACTGCACATCCCCTCGTTCTCCTGGAACTTAGTTGGTGTCGGCTATCTTCAGGACCTCGGCGTCACCACTACGTTCCCTGATCACGAACGGTACGCTGTCTGTACCGAGGTCGCCTCAGGTGCCCCCCTTGTGACTTTCCCCCGAGACCCGGTGTCTGGCCTGTTTATGCTAGACATTGCTCCCCCCCCGGTTGGGGCATCCTCCCCAGGTCCTGCGTCTACCCAGGTCGCTGCGGCCTGCTCGTGTCGGTCGCTCACTCACCCGTCGCTTTTGTGGCACCATCGCCTAGGTTACCCCGCACTCCCGGGTCTACGTCACATGTCTCAGCATGGTCTAGTCCCCGGTCTCCCTGCGTCGCTTCCTGCCCTCCCTCCCTCACCTGCGCCGCCGTGCACGCCCTGTCTCGAGGGTCGGTTGCACCGTGCTCCTCACTCCTCGCTTCGCCCTGCCACCGCACCCCTCCAAACCCTGCACCTGGACGTCTGGGGCCCAGCCCGCGTCCCTGGGCCGTGTCGCAAGCGCTACTTTCTCCTGCTCGTCGACGACTTCACGCGCTACACCACGGTGTTTCCCGTGGAGAGGAAGGCCAACGTGCCTGATTTTCTTATCCCATGGGTCGTAGCTGCGCGCCTCCACCGTGGTCTCCTTGTGCTGTGTCTCCACTCCGACCGTGGCGGCGAGTTTGCCTCTGGTCGGCTTGGTCAGTTCTGTCGTGCGAAGGGCATCACCAAGTCGTACACCCTACAGGACTCCCCGCAGTAGAATGGGGTTGCTGAGCGATGCATCGGCTTGGTCATGGAGGCGGCTCGCACCTCCATGATTCATGCCGGTGCACCCCATATTCTGTGGCCGTTCGCCATTCGCTACGCCACTGACCAGCTAAACCTGTGGCCGCGCTCCCAGCGGCCGCAGGTTTCGCCGACCCTTCTTTGGACCGGGTTCCCTGGTTACGCGTCTGCGTTCCACGAATGGAGCTGCCTTGCTCACGTTCGTGCCTCTAACACAGACAAGCTCACTGCCCGCACAGTCCCCAGTGTCTTCCTCGGTTTCCCCCTTGACTCGTCCGACTGGCACTTCTACCACCCGCAGTCTCACCGCTTCTTTCACTTCCGTGACGCCACCTTTGACGAGTCTGTCTCGTTTTTCCACCGCTTTCCCAACCGAGGTCTTCCGGTTTCCCCGCCCCTGTTGCTGGTTCCCACTCCCCCGGTAGCCCTTGCTCCCTTCCCTCCCCGTCCTGCTCTGTCTGGTGTGTCTCACGCCACTCCCCTCCTGTCGGTTGTCCCGGTCGAGGAGTCGGTTGACTCTAAAGGCCCCGCGGTGCCGTTCTCGCCGCCGTCCTTCCTCCCGGTGTCTCCTCCTCCGCTGTCGCAGTAGTCGCTGCAATAGGAGCCGCAGCCGCCACCGCAGACGCAGCCACAGCAGCCACCGCCGCCGCAGCCGTTCGTGGACCGTGGGGGTGCTGGCGTTGAGGAGGGTGCTAATCATGGGGTTCCTGTCGTGGCTTGTCCCGGCGAGTGTACAGGATCGAATGTGTCGAGGAAAGGTTGCACTATCGATTGATACAAGGTGCTTTTATACTTCCAAAGTACATCAGGTAACCAGGTCTATCCTATCCCAAGGGAATAGACCCTTCTAGAAAATAGAATCACCCTGCGTAGAGCCACGCGAGGCTATTGGCTTTAAGGGATTACGGCAGGATTACGCTGGATAGAGAGAGTAGTACATCCCGAGACTGGTCGGTGATATAATGATAATAACACGATAAACCAAAGGATAATGGAAAAGGAGGAATAAGAATCTAAATGGAATAAGATAAATACCAAATAAATCAGGATAAAAAGAGGAATGAAATGGAAAGGGGAGATGGAAAGGAGAAAGGAATGGAACGGTGTCGTACTCTCACACTTCCCCCCCTCAAAGCTAGGTGGTAAATGTAACACCCTGCTTGACAAGGTAGTCGCGGAGAGGACGACAAGCGTGATCCATCTCGGATTTAGAGACCCAGCTATCCTCTGAAGGATCATAACCCTTCCAACGGATGAGAAGCTCCACGTGGCCATTCCGTCGACGGCGGTGAGCAAGTACGGACTCGACCTTGTACTCGGGTTCATCATGGACGAGGACGGGCGGCGGCGGCGGCGGTTGGCGTCCTGAGAAGACCGTGTTAGGATCTTGGTAGGGCTTCAAGAGTTGGACATGGAAGGCGTTGTGAATCTTCCAGGTAGCTGGCAGGCGTAAGCGGAAGGTAACAAGAGTGACATGTGCTTTAACGAGAAAAGGCCCGCAGAAGCGAGGTCGCAGTTTGGATGGGAGATGGCCGATGTCAAGATTGCGCGTATCGAGCAGTACTCGGTGTCCCATGGTGATGGTGTGGTCTGTGAAGTGGCGATCGGCCTGGCGCTTCTATTGTTGTTGAATGTCGAGAAGGCGCTTGTGGGTCCGATCCCATAGTTTGTGCATGGTCGTGATGAAATCATGGGCAGTTTGGACTGTGGCTGGTATGTTTGGCTGTTGAGGTGTGAGTGGGTGGCGTCCATAACAGAGGAAGAACTCCAGGATGGGCAGATGAAAGTCCCATTTGGAGATGTCATCCTTGAAGGCTGCGCGGAGGAGTTGCTCCACAATTTGGTTGAGGCGCTCGGTCTGTCCATCTGTCTGCGGATGGTAGGCGGATGACATGGCGAGTTTGGTCCCGAGTAGAGACATCAGTTCTTTCCAGAATTTACTGGTGAACTTAGGGTATCGGTTGGAGATGAGTGTGGTCGGAATGCCATGTTGTGAGATGATGTAGAGAACAAAGAGTTGTGCCGTCTCCTCGGTGCGTGCAGTGGTATGTGTCGGGATGAAGTGTCCCATTTTGGAGAACTTGTCAATGACGACGAGGATCGCGTCATGACCGCTTGTGGTAGTTGGTAGCCCGGTGATGAAGTCTAGGCTGACCACTTGCCATGGTTGTTCTGGGACAGGAAGAGGCTGTAGCAGATCCGCCTTTTTCTGCTTGCTGCTCTTCATCCGCTGGCATGTAGTGCACGAGGTGACGAATTTCTATACGTCATCTGCCATGTGGGGCCAGTAGATTTGTTTGGCGATACCGGTGAGCGTCTTGTTGCTACTGAAGCGTACAGGACGTCGTGGTATTCTTCAAGTAGTAACTGGCACAAAGGAGGGTAATTAGGTACCCAAATCTTTGTTGATCCTTTCCAGTATGCGATGTCGTTGTCCCACTGTAACAGATGTCGCTTTTCTGCCAAGGGAATTTCGGGGTCGATGGTGTACCCTTGTGTGAAGAGTCCCTTGAGGAGTGGGTTCATCCCTTCGACTTGGATCGCGGCAACGTGCGCAGGCCGGCTGAGAGCGTCTGCTTTGTTTTTGTGGCTGGGCTTGTATACGATGTTGTAGTGGAAGTGTGTCTCGAGGAAGTCAATCCACTGGACCTGCCGCCTGGAGAGGCTTGGTTGCGTTTTAGGCTGCAATGGTCGGTGTAGACTGCCGTCTTGCGTCCTTCGAGATAACATCTCCACGTTTTGAAGGCGATGATGATAGCAAGGGCCTCCTTGTCGTGTATCAGGCAGTTGAGTTCTGCTCCGTGTAGTTTTTTGCTGAGGTAGGCAATTGGTTGCAGGCCGTAGCTTGCATCAAGACTGCTCCCACTGCCTGGTCGCTGGCGTCAGCTTCGATGACTTAGTCGCGTTCGGGATCTGGCAAGATGAGTACTGGTGCGGACGTAAGTGCTTGCTTCAGCTGCTCCACGGCTTCCTGGTGTTTTGGCTCCTCTTTGTAGGGCGTGTTCTTCTTCAGTAGATTCGTGAGTGGTGCTGCGATTTTTACATGCTGTGGCACGAACCTGTTGTAGTAATTAGCGAAGCCTAGGAACTGCTGCAACTCCTTCACGTTCTCGGGTGTCTTCCACGTACAAACGGCTTCGATTTTCTTGGGGTCGATGTGAACTCCTTGAGCGCTTACGATATGTCCGAGGAATTGGACTTTCTCGAGGGCGAGGTCGCTCTTGGATAGTTTGACGTAGAAGCGTTCTCGTCGAAGAATTTTGAAGACGTGTCGTAGGTGCTCGACGTGTTGTTGCCTGTTGAACGAGTAGACGAGGATGTCGTCCAGTTACACCACCACGCATTCGTCCAAGAGTGGGCGTAGGATATGATTCATCTCAGCTTGGAACGTTGCAGGTGCGTTGGTGAGTCCGAACGGCATTACCAGATACTCGTACGATCCGTACCGAGTTCGGAAGGCAGTTTTGTGAACAAAATCGTCCGCTATTCGTATCTGCCAGTATCCAGACCGCAGATCTAGTTTTGAAAAGACCATGGCTTCCCGAAGCTGGTCAAGCAGGTCATCGATTCGTGGAATCGGGTATTTGTTTTTTATGGTCTGCTTGTTGAGAGCTCGGTAATCGATGCACATGCGCAGGCTCCCGTCCGGTTTCGGCGTGAAGAGTACTGGGGCACCGTATGGCGAAGTGGATGGTCGGATAAGTTCTTTGGCGAGGAGATACCTGATCTGCTTTTTCACGTCGGCTAGCTCTGTAGGGCTGAGCCGATATGGTGCTCGGAAGGTCGGTTTCGAACCTGGTTCCTCCACGATCTCGTGTTGGTGCGTTCGGTATGGCGGTAGCTCGTTCGGGAGGTCGTCAGGAAGAATGTCTTGGAACTCCTTCAGTATTTCCTTGATTTCTATTGGAGGTTCCGAGGTCTTCTCCTCGTCCTTTTCCACGTCTGTTGCTAACGCCAGGAACCCGGTGTTGGTTCGTTTCACGTCCTTCTCGAATCTGGCGAGTGTCTCCACAGGGATATCTCCTGTATCGTTCCAGTTGGGTAGCTGGACTCTCCTTCCTTTGTTGTAGATGCTTGCGGTGCGGTTTACCCAGTTGATCTCGGGGCTGATTTTTTTAAGGAATTCTCGCACGAAGATCAGGTCAAGCCCTTTTATGTTGGTGATGGGGAGAGCACGTTTCTTGCGCAGTGGACCGATTTGTAGGTGTAGCACTGCTTCGCCGTACACTGGTAACTTGCTACCATCCACTATCGTTGCAGAAAACGCTGATGGCTTGTACTCTTCTCGAAGTCGGTCGATGGTTGCCTTGTCGCATACGGTGTGCGATGCTCTGCTGTCCACGAGAGCTTGGAGGCGTCGTCCTTTACAGATGACCTCGAGCACGAGGGGCAGGCGTTGCTCGGAGTACCCAAAGATTGTTTCATTGATTGGGTCATAGGGTACATCCCAGTAGTCGTTGCTTCGTACTCCTGAGCTGGCAGCTGGCCGAGGCTGCTTGGAGAAAGGCTCTTCTCCAGAGCCTGGAGTTTCTGTGACGACTGCTCGTGTCATTGACGAAGTTGCCGAGTTGGATGCATCCGACGAAGGAGTTCGGGGTTTTTGCAGCTTCCTGTAGGACCCCAGCTTCCTCTTGAGCTGCTTCAGCTCCACCGACGTCTTCCCTCGGGAACGGGTAGTCGTTGTGGGCTGGTGTCGGGAGAGGAGGTTGACTCCGTGGAAAGGTCGACTTCTTTCCACACTCCTTAACTTGGTCCCCAAGTTCTCCGGTACTGGTACGATCTCCACAATTTTCTGCTTCTTTTGGAGTCCCTCCCGAAATTTCTCCAAGGCTCTAGCCCGTCGAGAATTACAAGTTTTCATTAAAGCATCTTTATAAGATAACTTTAACGAATCCTTATAATTTCTTGGGTCTTCAAGGAGTTTCCTTGTCTTGGCAGAGTCCTTTTTCGCGGAGTTAGATTTTTCCTCGGCGATTTCCTCTGGCGAAGACTGGTCGTGGGGTGGAGATTTTTCCCCATCATTTTCTCCTATTCCCATCGAATCAGGTGCGTCGAAGTTGATTTTTCCGGAAGTCCGCGACCGCTTTCGGATCTTTTCTTTTTCGCCAGCTAGATCCGCAATCATTGGCGAGTTCCATTTTTTGTCTTCTGATTGGCCGAATAATTTCCGCCACAGTTGCGTGCCTGATACTCAGCGCATGCGGCTTTCATTTTGTTGCAGTCGAAGATTCGATAACCCGGCACCCCGCAAAAATCACACGTGTAGTTGGTGTTTTTCGGACGTGGCCGCCCTTCGAACCTATCGACTTCCATCGGGTCGGCGAATGTGGGTTGAGCTGAGCGGTTGCCCTGTCGCGTACTGTCGACGTGCGCCCGTCGTTACCCGGCGTTGACCATGTCGAAGCGTTCTGCTGCCGAAACAACGTCACTGTAGCTCGCGTAATTTGTCGCTGCTACTTGTCGTTTGAATTCGATCTTCAGCCCGGCGAGGTACGACTGTACTGTTTCCCCTTCGGCCAGGTCGGGAATGCGGTTATAAAATTCCTCCATCTGCTGCGCGTACTACGCTACACTCTCGAACTGTCGATGGCGATGAATTTTTCCCAGGCAAGGAAACCCGAATTTATCGGCTCAAAACGTTTCAGCAGGTCGGTGCGGAATCGCTGCCACGTGGCTTCGCCGTGCATGAAGGTGCTGTTACCGCCGATCCACTCGAGTGCCGGTCCTCGCATGAGTGTCACCGCGAGTCATACGCGTTGTCCGTCCCAGACTGGCGAGCTCCATCCGACGGCTGCGAAGTAGATCTCCATGCCGGCGATCCATCTGCGGACGTCGGAATTTCGATCGCTCGGATCGAACAGCTCAGGTGGGCGCGGTTTCGGAGCCCCGAGAAATTGTTGCGACTGTTGCGTCGTCGCCGCTGTCGTTTCGTGTTGCGCGCCGGCGAGTCGGGTTACTCGCTCGAACTCTTGTCGCCAAGCTTCGCGGTCGACTCGCATCTCCTTCTGTAGGGAGGCGATGCTTGCGAAGAGCTGCTGGGTAACTTCGATGTTGTCGAAGTTCGCCATCCTGTTCAAAACACATGCGGAGGGGGGAATTAAAAAAAACACAGAGCTGGTGCTTACTAGAATCGGCATCGAATTGGTCGCCCCCAACGGTTTTTCGAGGCCGGAGTCCCGCTACTGCTGCTTAGCAGAGCACGGCCGAGTAAGAAAAGCTTTGATTACCAAGTGTTACAGGATCGAATGTGTCGAGGAAAGGTTGCACTATCGATTGATACAAGGCGCTTTTATACTTCCAAAGTACATCAGGTAACCAGGTCTATCCTATCCCAAGGGAATAGACCCTTCTAGAAAATAGAATCACTCTGCGTATAGCCACGTGAGGCTATTGGCTTTAAGGGATTACGGCAGGATTACGCTGGATAGAGCGTGTCAGTACATCCCGAGCCTGGTCGATGATATAATGATAATAACACGATAAACCAAAGGATGATGGAAAAGGAGGAATAACAATCCAAATGGAATGAGATAAAGACCAAATGAATGAGGATAAAAAGAGGAATGAAATGGAAAGAGGAGATGGAAAGGAGAAAGGAATGGAACGGGGTCATACTCTCATAGCGGGCCTTGGGGTGGCACCGGTGCTAGAGAGAGTTCTCGCTCTGGGGGTGCCTATTCTGGGGGTGCTGGAGTGGATTGTTGCGGAGGTATCCGTGGTGCAGCTGGCGGTTAAGGTGTCGGCATCGAGCAGCAGCAGCAGCAGTCGCCGCTGGTGTCCGCCCTTCGCCTTCTCGGCCTTCCCTCCCCTAACCACTCGCCTGTGCCTCCCCCGCCGCCTCCTCCTCTTCCTGTCTACGGCCGTGTGTTTCCTCCGCCGAACTCGTCTCCGGCGCGTCGTCCCCCTCGTTCCCCTTGTGTGTCTCCTCCTCTGTACCCTGACCCGACGCCTCCGTCTCACATCTGGTCTCACCGTCCCTCTCGTGCTCGTCCTGCCTCTCCTGTTCAACGTTCTCACCCTATGTTGCTTTGTTCCCACGCATCTCATCCTCCCCTCCTCCAAGGTCCTAGCAAGTGAAAAGCTACAAGAACTAGACCAAGCTATACACAGTGTTGCTGATGATCTTTAGGCGCAAGCGCCTTCGTAAAGATACAGTATCATCTGTATTGGCACCAGAGGCTAAGTGTGCTACGCGGGCCTGGCAGCACTGCTGTAGCTCTCGCAGGAGGAAGTTCCGCAGCGCGATGTGCTTCGTTATGCCCTCCAGTCGAGGCTCCTGACACAGGAGGATCATGGCCCAGTTGTCCGCGTACACGAAAGGGGCAGAGCTAGGCCGCTCACCTAAGCCTGTGAGCAAGAAAGTCAGCCCGCGGAGCTTCTGTGCCGCCATGGCACCGGCGTAGATCTCAGCCTTACAGCTAGACTGGGCAATACACGACGAGCGAGTTGACCTTCACGAGATGGCACTTGCACGAAGGCTAAAACAGTAGCCCTGGGAGGACCTGAGCGTCTCAGCGTCATCGGCCCACGAAGTGTCTGTGTGCCCTGTAAGGACCACTGGCATGTATCCTCCTAGCACTAGCCCCATGCCCAATGTACTTGCTAGATAACGCAAAACCCTCTTAGCGGCTGACCAATGCTGTGGTCGGTATCCGCCTGTGGCCAAAAAGGGAGCCAGGATGCTGAAGGGGTTTGCGATATCTGGACAAGTGCAAGTCATCAGGTACATGAGGCAACCCACCAGCTCTGCGTACGGACCAGTAAGCTCTACTGACTCCTCAGGGATTAGAGCTGAGAGCATATGATCTACTAGCAGAGATGTGGGCTGCGTGGAGGAGAACTGAAGATCGAACATCTGAAGGACTTGGCACACCAAGTGTGACTGTGTGAGAGTGATGGTGCGCGCTGCTCTATCCCTGGAGATCTGAAGGCCAAGGTAGCAACGCAGCTCTCCTAGGTCAGTGCAGGTGTGTCTCCTCAGCAGCTCAGCCTTCACGGAGGCCAGTGCGTCTCTGTCTGCAGTAGTGAAGTTCAGGTCATCTACGTAGACAAGGATGTACAATGGAGTCTGGCCTGAAGGAACGAAGAGAGAAGGGTCTACAGAGGAGGGAAAGAACTGCAGGTCAGCTAACGTAGCACAAAGCGTGTCGTGCCACTCGCGCAGTGCCTGCCGTAAGCCGAAAACCGGGCGCTGGAGGAGCCACTGGGTGCCCAGGACGAAGGTGCCGGTGAAGCCTGGAGGGCGACGCAGGTAGACCTACTCGTGCAGACTGCCCTAAAGAAACGTTGTCGAGAAGTCAAGAGAGTGCAGCTCATAGTTAGGGGAGGGAGCGACGCATTGAGATCGAAGACATGACCGTGATGGGACATGTGACGCAGACGGGGGAGCGGGACCAGCAGGCGCGGGGCCAGCGAGCGCGAGGTTGGCGGGTGCGGGGCAGGCGTGCTCTGGGCCAGCGGGCGCGGGGTTGACGATCGCGGGGCCAGCGGGCGCGGGGCTACGGGCACCTAGCGACGGGCGGCTCGAAACGGGCAGCTAGAGACGGGCGGCTAGGTACGGGCGGGTAGGAATGGGCGGTTAGGAATGGGCGGCTAGGGCTAGGACTAAAGCGGAAGTGCGAGTGGGCAGGGAGGACCTAGCGTAGCGCATGATACCATCTCAGAGTAGAATTGTTAGCTAGAATGTGAGATACAGGATGGTTTTGTCTAAGGGGTTGTACTCTCTAAGAGTACGCACCTATCTAGCCTATAGTAACATATACATATATGTTTGACATAGCAGACATTGTGATGCCAAATATGGTACATTGGGAGCTGGGAAAAATCGCTGGAAACGGAACAATATTGCCAACCGTACAAAATTTAGACAGCCAATGCTACAGGAGGGGAAAGGCAGCCACGGAAAAACACTGGGAGAAAAAAAACATGATAATTGCTAACCACACGCATGACAGGAGGGCTACACGTGCCCTCCTCACTAACCCCGCCAAATCCACCACAACACTGTAGGTAATGCTGCTGAGATTCCAAAACCAACCACTACCTTCGTTCGTAGCCTAAGCCTACCTAGATCTGCCTGCTCCACTGCTGGTTCCTCCTCTGCTTGCTCTCATGTGCACATAAGACAGCCTACTACCAGGCCCGGGGCTACCACCTGCTGCTGCCGCTACTGTTGCTCCTGCCTCCACTTCTCGTGCCCCCCCTCCCCGTCCAACTGCCCCACCTCCTCCCCTACCCCCCCCCCGACCAGTACCCCTACCTCCTCTCCCTCCCCCACCTCCTCCTCCTCCACCTCCTCGCGTCTCGGCTAATGGTGGGTCCGCTCCTCCGGTAATTCCAGCCATGGCACTTACAACCTCAGAACCATAGGCACTGCCATTGCCATTGCCATGCCCGTGCCCATTCCCTTCATGATCCCCCATGCCCTGCCATGTGCCCCTCCAGGCACCAACAGTCGAGCTCACACCCAAGCCCATGCCTATGCCCATTCCCATGTTTATGCCCATGCCTGCCCTTGCGTTCACAGCATGACCCATGCCTCTGGCTGTCACGGCACCGCCACCCCTACTGGACGAACCAGCGGCTGTGGCTGGGGTTGGGGAGATGGAGGAGGAAGATGGGGGGGACGGCGACGGTGGTGGTGGTGCTAGTGCTGCGCCTGCTGCTCCCGCTGCTGTGTCTGCAACAGTAGAGCCTGTGGCTGGTGCGGTACCCGAGCTGAACACAGTGCTGCTGTTACTGCCAGCCGCAGCATTAGGCTTACCAGAGGTGGTGGCGCTAGGCTCAGAACCCCCCAGCGACCACCTCTGCTGCGCCGCAGCCAGAGAGTCCCTCAGACTCGCGAGCCCAGGACCAACCTCCCCCACTGAAAGACGCTCCTCGCCGCCTGGCAGAACTTCCCTCAGGAATCGCAGCCCACCACCAGCACCGCCCCCTCCTCCTCCTCCCCCACTTCCCGGCCTTGGAGCATCCCAGGGCGGCATGTGTGCAGAGAGAATGGAGAGGGGGTGTGGAGGGTGTGAGGGGCGCACAGGGCTTGTGGGCGCGGGTTTGTAGGTGGATGATGGGAGGGCGTCGCGGAGGAGGGGAGAGGCGGGCGGGAGGGGGGGAGGGGGGGAGGAGGTGCGGGGGGCAGAGGCATGGAAAGAGCGATGGATTGAGGGTGGAACGGTGTAGTAGAAACAGCAGCGGCGGCCGCAGCAGGAACGAAATCCGCAGCAGAAGAACCATCAGCAGCAGGATCAGGAGGAGCAGCAGGATCAGGAGGAGCAGCAGCAAGCGGAGGAGGAGGAGGAGGAGGGGGATCAGACGAAGAAGAAGCACAACCAAGAGCAATTGCAGGCGATGTTCCAGAAGCACCTGCTGCTGCTGCTGCTGCTGGTGGTGGTGCAGGAAAAGCCGGTGCAGAAGCAGTGGCAGACGCCGAAGCAGGTGCAGCAGCAGAGGCAAAGGCAGAGGCGGGTGAGAGAGGGGGGACGCAGGAGGAGGAGTAAGGGAGGTGCTGGTGGGACGGGATGCCGGGCGCAGCAGGGAAGGGGAGTGAGGCGGAGGGAGCAGGAGGGTGCTGCTGATCCATGAGTCGGCGTCGCAGGCGGAAGGGAGGAGAGGAGAACGCCTCTGGGGGCACCGAGAGAGCATGTGCCATGTGGGACTCGTGGTGAGGCTGAAACAGGGAGACGGGGGGTTAGGGGGTGAAGGAGGGGGGGCGGGGGAGAAAGCGGAGAATGCGCGGGTCAAGCAGGGGATCAGGTGAGAGGAAGAGGAAAGCAGAAAGCACAACGCATATAGCACTAAGCAAAAGCAGAAAGCATAAAGCAGAAAGCAGTCACCAGGAAGCAAGGAGCAGGGAGCAGGGAGAAGGGGTGGATGCTGAGCCCATACCAGCGGCTGGGGCTTCAGCAGGGACGATGGCCTGGCAGGTGACGCGGCCACACTAAGCGCTGCAAAGGCAGGGCCCAGCGGAGAGAACTGCACACTCTGATTGCTGCCTCCCACTCCTGCTCCCACTCCTGCTCCCACTCCTGCTCCCACTTCTCCCATTTCTCCCCGTGCCCCTATTGCTGCTCCCACTGTATCCATTGACTCCACTCCCCACCCTGCTCCCGCTGCTGTTGCGTTGGGCGGTGGTGTTGCTGCAACTTGTGCTGCTGCTGTTGCTGTTGCTGTTGCGAATTCTGCTACCTTTGCTGCTGCAAACTGTGGAGTGTGCGTCGTTGCAAATTGTGCTGCTGGTGCTGCCGCATATTCCGCTGCTGGTGCAGCTGCGAAATCTGCTGCTGTAGCCTGAGCCGCTGCAAATTGTGCAGCGGCAACCGATTGCGCTGTTGGTGCCAGTTTCAAGCTCCCTGAAATGGCCACAGGGCGGAAAAGGGACGGCGGGGGAGAAAAGGCGGAAGGAGAGCACCTCTCTTCCGCACCAAGAGCAGCAGCATCAACAGGTGTGGTCGCAGAGTCAGGCGCAGTAGCCTCAGCAGCTGATGAAGCAGGTGCAGTGGATATTGGGTGCTTCCTTGTGCTAGGCACACGATGCAACCAGTCCGAAGTACTCGCTTCCATAACCTCCCTTCCAGCATCAGCAGCAGAACCAGCACCAGCACCAGCACCAGCAGCACCAGCAGCCGCAGCAGCAGCAGCAGCAGCAGCAGCAGCAGCAGCAGCATTACCAGCGTCTCCAGCAGCTGCAGCCCTACTGCTTTCATTCTCCCTCTTCTTACTCTTCCTCTTCACCCCCTCCGCTCCCTTGGCACGCCTTCCCTTACCCTCCGCATGCTGCCCCCTACTTCGACCCCCCTCCTCTCTCTCCACCCCACTCTGCTGCATTTCCACCGCCATATTGTCTCCACAAGTAGCAGCAGCAGCCGCAGCGGCAGCAGCAGCAGCAGCAGCAGCGTTAACAGAATCGCTGCTGTAACCAGAGGCCATACTGTTGGCCTTGCCGCCAGTATCAGCAGCACCAGCAGACTCACCTGGAGCATCAGCAACAGCAGCAGCAGCAGCAACAGCAGCTGCTGCATCACCACCAGCAGCAGCAGGGTGAGCGGAGATGGTGAGAGCTAGGCTAAGTTGAGGCGGACCTGCTGCCAGCGATGCCCCTGCTGCTGCTGCAGCTGCAGCTGATGCTGATGCCGATGCACTCTTCCCTATCCCACTACTACTATCGCTGAGGCCACCACCCCCACCACCCCCACCACCCCCACCACCCGTGGCAGGGAACAGACTGAGCGGCCTATGCCATTGTGATGCCAACGAATGTGACACTAGCGGGTGTGACGGTAGAGGAGCAGCAGCTCCAAGGGCGGACGAAGGGCGAGCCGGGAACAGCGGAAGCGGAGAGGCTTGAATCGACCCTTCCATAGCACAGCCCCCGTCCGAATCCCGTTGGAGCATGTATACACTCTCTGCTGCCAGGGCTTGCTGCCTCTCGTCCCCCTCGTGCCTCTCCTGCCTCCCATTCCCCTCCTCCCTCTCATGCCTCTCGTGCCCCCGCTCCTCCCCATTCCCCTGCCAGTCCATGGCACTCTCTCCCTGCCGGCCCCCTGCCAGGGCTGGGGGCGAAGTTAGCGCGGGCCCCAGCCTAGCAGACAGGCCTACCTGTCTACCTGCCCTTGAACTCCTTACCGCTCCAAGCACCTGCGCCAACCCCTTCGCACCACCCCCACCTGCTGCTGCTGCGAGTAGATCTGCTCCCCTTCCTCCTGCTCCTACTTCTCGTCCTGCTCCTACTTCTCGTCCTGCTCCTGCCCCTGCGGCTGCAGCAGCTGCTACCTCTGAGGGATTTTGCACGAGGAAGGAGTCACTGCGGCGCCTTCTCTTCCGCAGGATTGCCGGGAGCCCCCCCCCAGCACTCTCCACTCCAACCGCCAATGCTGCTGCTGCCGCCGCAGCCGCAGCCGCCGCCACAGCGGCGGTTGCTCCTCTTCCTGCTCCCATATCCCCGCCCGTTCTGCCCCCAGCGGCAGAGGAACGGAGGGCGAGAGCGTCGAGAGAGAGAGAGGGCGGGGTGTAGAACAACGCATCACCTACGGACGCGTCTGGCGACAGGCTGTTATACGGATGGATGCTGCGAGCCTGGGTCTGGGAGCTGCCAGGAGCGGACCCCGTGCCCTGACTGCTGCTGCTCCCTAGAGACGGGCTTTCAGCTGAAGGGCCGGCAGACACTGGTGCGGCAGCACAAGTATAAGCGCCAGGAAGCGCAGCAGGCGCGGCCGACGGCGCACCTGCCGTGAATGCAGCACCTCTGGAACATCTAGCGCCTCCATCTCCGGTAGTAGCCGCTTCAATACTAGAAGCAGCAATACCCCGGCTAGGAGCAGAAGCACCACCCGCAGCAGCAGCAGCAGCAGCACCGGTGGCGGCGGCAGTGGTAGGGGAAGAGGCGGCGGCAGTGGTAGGGGAAGAAGCGGCGGCAGCAGAGGCAGCTAGCTGCATTTCGTTGACCGCTCGCATGGCAGCAGCGAACAGTATTTCCGCGTCCTGCATGCTCTCCTCCACTCCACACAGCCCCACCGCCTCCTGCACCTCGCTCCCTCTCCCCCTCACACCCACTCCCTCCACTCCTTCCCCTCCCTCCCCTCCCTCGCGGCCTCTCCCCTCATCAACCCCCAAATCGTCTCCTCTCGATACCACCTCTGCACCTAACGGTTCCTCAGCCTTCATCCCACCACCGCTCCCAGTTCCCCCTTCCCTTCCCTCCAGCTGACCCTCGCTACGGCGCATATCATTCCGCACATTCATCCGCAGATCTACACGCCCGCCAGTCTGGCCGTCCCTCCGCCCGTCTAATACCGCCCCTCCCTTGTCCGCAAGTCTGCTGCTTCCCCCGGCCTCTCCCCCCACTTCCCCCCCTTCCGCCTCCCTCTCTCCGCCAACTGCCTCACCCCCACCGGTGTCACCGTGACTTCTCCCCGCGCGCCCCTCTCCGCCCTTTCTGCGTGCGCCGCCGCTGATCCTGCGCCCTCTCTCCGCCTCTCTCCCGCGGGCCTTCTTTCTTGCCTCGTTCTCCCGCTCCGCACCGTCAGTTCTTCCGCCCTCTCCTCTCTCCCCGCCTGTTTCCTCACCTTTCAAAGCCTCCTTCGTGCCGCGCTCCCCGTCAGCCCCACTATTCCCCCGGGCCCCCCCGCTCGCTCGTCCGCTGCTGCTCGCCCCTCCCCCGCTGCTCGCTCGTTCGCTGCTGCGCTCCGCGCTTGCAGAACCACCGGGGCCATCGCTTCGACACGTGGCATCTCCGCCAGCAGCAGCAGCGCTTGCTCCAGCCGTTCCCGCGTTCGCCGATGTCGCTGCAGCTCCTGCCGCGGCGGCTGCTTCAGCAGCAGCGGCGGCGGCACCAACCGTTCCGACCCCGTCGTCACCTCCGCGCACTAGCGACGCAGAACCCGCGAGATTACCCGCCTTCCACTCACCACCACCATCCCCATTTCCTACGGCAAACCCCCCTCCTCCGCCCCCGCCCCCACCCCCCCCGCGCCTCCCGCGCCTCCCGCTCCTCCTCCTCGCTCGCACGCATCTCTGCCGTCGCCCGCCTCCCACTCAATCTCCCCTCCAAGTTTTCCGCCACCTTCCCCCACGCCGTCCCCGAACATCGTGCGCTTACTCGTCCGCCTCGAGCCTTCCGCCAGTCCCATCTCCGCGCCCAGCGCTTCACTCACAACCTTCCCGTTGATAACTGGGCCTAACTGCGCTGTCCGTTCCGCCGCTTGCGCCCCGTCCGCCGCCCCCATGCCCGCGCACGCGGACTCCGCGCGGGCGCTGTCCTCCGCGATGTCTGCCTCCGCAGACAAGGCGGAATGCGCGGATGCGGATCTAGCGGAAAGGAACCGGTCGAAGAGCACGAAGGGGAGGGATCCCGAAGCAGGCGGATCGGCCTCGATTAGAATCATAAAGACGCGCGGATAGGCTGCGGAAGACAAGCGGTGAAGCACGCAGGATTCCCCGGTGCGGAGAATGGAAGTAACGTGGTGGAGGGCGGTCAGGAGGATGGGGGGAAAACAGAAAGAGAGACAGGTTACACAGAGAAACGGAGAGGGCATAACCGTATAGCATCCGTCGTTTGGAGCTGCACCGTGGAACATAACCGTATAACGTCCGTCGCTAGGAGCTACGACCCGTGTCCAGAAACCGGTTCGCATGTAGCATATCGAGCGACAAGACGAAAGGGCCCAAACGGGATGGTTTCACACGAAACTAAGCGGCTTCTACTACGTCAGCGAGTTGGGAGCTGTGCAAATGCTAGACTGTCCCTAAAAACTGTAAGAGTGAGTGACAAGGACTTTGGAAAATCCGATGCATGCCAGCGTTGGTAGAAAGAGCGAGAGGTAGGGCTAAGGAACGGCAAAGAGAAAAAACCGTCGCCGAATTGCTTGTCGCATGCTTGCCGGGAAGCTGGCGTCCAAAGAAAAAATAAAACAGACAGACGAGCGTGGGAGGGAATTGCGGGAGTGGCTAGGAGAGGGAGGAGATGGCAAGGTAAGCCAGGCTGCGTACCTGCCTAGACTTGAGCTTCCAGAACGAGGGGATGCCGAGAGCACAACCGATAGAGAATTGCTCGTCGCGATGAGCTGATTGCGAAGAACAACACCGAACAAGAGAGTTGTCTAGGCAGCCCGCCGGCGAGTTGTAGGGATCTATCGTCAGAGCTTCGTAACTGACCGGCCTAGCCATTCGGGGATCAGGCACGGCATAACGTAATTCAAGCCGCACAGGCAATTACCGTGAAACCTAATGCAGAAGAAATAAGAAACTTCCTACACGGTAGGTTCCGGGTGCTATAGGCTCGGCAAGAATCAACAATTCGAGTAGAGGATCGATTGTAACTGCACGTCTGACGTTACTTCCGTAATTAGCCTTAATGTGAAAAGACGAAGCCAGGCAGGAAAAGTAACCCCAAAGGAGACGATGGCCAGCTATCCACTCCGAGATACGAAAATGCTCAGTTCAGTCGACCCAGTGAGGCGAAACCGGATCGTGATGGTCACTCACAACAATGATACTGTACTGTCGTCAGATAGGTGGTGAAAGCTCTCTGGAACAACAAGCAGGCGAAAGTGAGGTTGGGGAGGGAAGAACAAGATGCTGGAGGGGAAGGTGGGGGGAACGCCCCCCGGAGGGGGGAAAGGGTGTTCGGGGGAAGTTGCGGGAGCGATCGGGTGGCGCAAGCGGACGTTTTGTGCGGTTTGGCGGACGAGCTCTGGTGTACCTGCGGAAACGTGAGACCGACGGCACATGGTCGGACTGGGTGGTGGTGTTGGCGTTTGCGGAGCGAAGGCGGGAAAGCGGATGAGCGGAAAGTATGGGGTGGGCTGTGGGTGAGGAGGATTCATCGGGTGGGAGGGGCATCGGAAGGGCAGGGGGAGCGCATCCCATCCCTGTGCAAGCTCGGGCCTGTGGGGAGGGTTTGGAGAGTCACTGACAAATTTGCTGAACGGGCGGACAGGAGAGCGAGCTTCTCTGACACCGATGCCAACGTGGCAGGACAGGATGAAGGACGCCACTGCTGAAACCTGCACAGCAGACCTGCAAATCCGGCCAAAAAGTTTTTCCAGACGCCCTTCCCACCAGCCAGAAGCTAGATCTTGCAGAACCAGAGACAGGTTGAAGGGATGCGTCAGAGAGTTGGTGCTGTGTGTCTTGTTCAGTCCCCTGTTGAAGGTCAAGCATGCAGAAATTTCTGAAGACTGACCGCAAAGCAACATTGACTGGCTGACTCACTGACATGTCAGGTGGGGTCGGCGTTAGCAAACTCCTGTGGAAAAACCACGCACCGCGCTCCTTGTCTTTCAAATCTTAGGCTCGGCTTGAAATTGACAGAAGTATGAGTGTTCCGGCAAGTTTATCATAGCTAAAATGATATCCCATGGATAGTAAAAAATATAACCATCACCATTTGTTTCCTACAAGAGAGGATTGTAAACCAACCTAGAGGGTTGTCTCTGCTGGCTATTCTAATCTCTACTTCTACACCAGCAGTCAATCCCCATATTGGACTTCATTACTATAATGATGACGATATCCATAGCGATATTTCCAAAACGAGGTTTACCAAACGCGAAGCATGACTGCAGCATGGCAAATGCTTGGCTTCATGGGCCTGTAGTGCATGGGAGTAACCTGACGTGCTTGATAATTTAGCACAGTTGGTGGCGCCAATTTCGCCCACTCTCTCGCTGACACATCCTACGAAGGGCTGGCCTCTCATCGGCTTAGGGCGTAGGTGGTATCCTCGTCTCGCAGAACAACAGCGGCGACACGCTCAAGGTGGCCGAGGTGTGAAAGTACAGGGAGCAGCCTCCGAATCACAAATTCATCCTACGAGCCTCGGCTCCAATTCTGAGCGGCAAGCACGCCGGGTATTAGTCTACACGTCTCCTCACGCCGCCCTCGCTCAGCGAATGGTTTATCGCTACGCGCTGACTAATTACGAGGATATTCTCCCATTTTTTTCTGTGACTTCGAGTCATGGATTCTGTGCTATTCCCGCCTCCCGCGTTTCGCGATCGCACGCCGCGATGGCTCGCCGCGCTCTTCCCGCATCCTGCCGCGATGACAGCGGCGCGGGATTGCGACACGTCCAACCAGGCCGAGGATCCGCCCTGGTCCATCCAGTCGCACGTCCAGTCGCACATCCAGTCGCACATCCAGTCGCACATCCAGTCGCACACCGAGTCGCAGGGTGAGCGACAGTCGCAAGGCAGCCACGTAGGCATGCTGAAAGTCGCCGCGAGTAGCCCCGTGGATGATCGTGGCAGGCGGCGGAAGTCGCGTGTGCCGCAGCGTCGCTCGGGTTCTGGCACGGGTCCTCCTTCTATCGCGTACAAATCCGGGTCAGCAGCGCCGATAAGGTTTCGCCCATATCTCCCCCCTCCATCGCCCACGTCGTCCGAGGAAGCGCATGTGCGGCGCGTGCTGGCGGAAGCGATGGCGCGTGATTGGCAGCATCCGGAAATTGGCGGAGCGGGCGGAGAAAAGGGCGGAGAGAAGGGCGGAGATAAGTGCGGAGAGAAGTGCGGAGAGAAGTGCGGAGAGAAGTGCAGAGAGAAGTGCAGAGAAAAGGAACAAGCCTCCTTAGGTTTACCAGATGAAGCGGTCTCGAATCCAGACTCGTCGCGGGGGGGGGGAGAAGGGGCATGCGCGCACGAGCAGCACGGTGCTAGCCCCGCGGTAGCAGGCATTGGATTGCGGGCGGAAGGCGCAGCGGAAGAAAGAGAAGCGGGCTGTGGGACGGGGAATCCCCAGCAGGAGTGGATGCAGGGGGACGGGGAGGGGAGAACGACGCTGGGAGCTGCGGGGAGTAGTGGGGGGGAAGAAGCGTGGAAGAAAGTGAGCGGGGGCGGGGAAGATAGGTGTACTAGCGTGCGCGGAGAGTCAGACACGTGGGCGCCGAACGTGGCGGAGGAAAGAGCAGTGGTTGCAAGCATATGTGGGGGAACAGACAGGGGAAGACAGATGGATGGTGCCCCTGAGCCTGAACCTGAGCTAGCCTCACCGCTGCGCTTTAAGTTGGTGTCTGAGTGTGGTGTGAAGTCTCGACCCGAGCCGGGGGTTTCACTGTTGCGGGAAGCAGCCTTGGATGGAGAGCGAAGGAGGGACGGCTGCCCAGTGATACCTGGGGCATCGCATCCCTGGCGGCTGCCCTGTGGGGGGATCATGAGCACGCCCAGGCGGCCAAGTACACGTGAGGGCATGGACACCAACGGGATTGATGTTGCAGGTGCCACTCCTGGCCTGCTCAGCGGGCTGTTGCTGTCCCCCCTGCGGCCACAGGACTTCACCCTGAGTGCTCGTGTGAGGGAGGGAGCAGAGCAGCGGCGGGGGCGGCGGCGGTGGCAGCAGGAGAACCAGGAGCAGGAGCAGGAGCAGCAGCAGCAGCAGCAGCAGCAGCAGCAGAACCAGGAACACCAGCAGCAGCAGCAGCAGCAGCGGCAGGAGGAGGAGGACCAGGAAGAGCAGCAGCAGCAGCTGGGACGGGGCAAGCGCAGTTGTCCTGGGAGGGGTGAGGACAGGAAGTGGGGGCGAGTGGGCTTGGCTGCGTTGGAAGGCGAGCCTTTTGGCCTGTGGAAACGGAAGAAGGCAGAGAATCGGAGAGAGCAGCAAGGGGAGGACGGGGGGGACGGGGGGGACGAGAATGTGGGGCGGGAGAGCAAGGCTCAAGAGGTGGGCCGGGGTGAGGAGGAGGAGGAGGCGGGGGAGGAGGAGGAGGAGGCGGGGGAGGAGGAGGAGGAGGGTGATGAGGAGGGGGAGGAGGAGGGGGAGTGGGAGGAGGGGAAGGGCGTGGAGGAGGAAGCTGAAGAGGATGTGGAAGTGGAAAAGGAGGAGGAGGAGGAGGGAATGGAAGTGGAAGAGGAAGAGGAGAAGGAGGAAGGGGATACGGAGGAAGAGGCGGAGGAGGAGGAAGGAGAGAAGGTCATTCAGGAAGAGGAGGAGGAGACGAAGGAGAAGGAGAAGGAGAAGGAGAACAAGGAAAAGGATTCTATGGGATGGAAAATTGGAGCAAGGAGGCGGAAGTTTGTGTCACTGGCTCTCGTGTGTTCGCGAGACAGAAAGAGGGTGAGCAGTGAGAGTGAGGGGGTTGCAAGATATGCCGAAAAAGAGAGTGGAGCGAGTGCGATTGGTGGAAGTCAAGGAGGAGGAGGTGGTGGAGGAGGGGGGGAGGAGGAGGAGGAGGAGGAGGAGGAGGAGGAGGAGGAGGAGGAGGAGGAGGAGGTGGTGGTGGTGTGGGGGGAAGGTGTAGAAATTGGGGGAGTGGAAAACAATGGGCAAGAGGAAGAGGGAGGAGACTTGGGGGGCAGGGTGGAGGGGCAGTGATGGCAGAAGAGAGGGCACATATGGCGAGTGCCTCTGGAAGCTACATGGGAGAGAAGGAGAACGGGAAGAGTAGGGAGGGCGGCGGGGAGAGTAGGGAGAGCAGGGAGAGTAGGGAGGGCAGGGAGAGTAGGGAGGGCAGGGAGAGTAGGGAGGGCAGGGAGAGTAGGGAGGGCAGGGAGAGTAGGGAGGGCAGGGAGAGTAGGGAGGGCAGGGAGAGCATGGCGAGCAGAGCATGTATGGGATCCCAAGGGCAGGCGGAAGGCGAGGGTAGGGAAGGGGACAAGGTAAAGGACAAGGCAAGGGGCACGTTAGAGGAGGCTGGCGGGACTTGTAGTGAGAATATCACTGAAGAGGTTACAGAAGCGAAAGGGGTAAAGGGGAGGAGAATGGCTGGAAGACAGCAGGACTGGATAGGAGGGCTGATGATGACGAAACGATGCCCAGGAGGTTTAGGGAAGGCCAAGGGGGGTTTGGTGAAGGAGGGGAAGGGGAAGGGGAAGTGGAGGGGGAGATGGGTTGAAGGAAGCAGGGTGGGCTGGAGGGAGAGGAAGATTGTGAAGGGGAGGTGGCAGCGCATTTGCCTGTGGAGACGTGCGTTTGGTGTTGCTGTCAAGGGGCATGGGAAGAGGGGGGCGGGTGGTAAGTGAGCACAACAGGGTCGGGTCAATTTTAGGCAATGGACAACCGTTGTAGAAGTAGCTAAAACCATTTGAAGGCGATGCCACCATTCCATGCTGTGTAGTTGTTGGATTTTATTTCTTGTGGTTCAACAATCAGCCCCATATTCCTATTGATCTTAGTATTTCAAAATGGATGTCGAATAGTAAAGGAATGTAGCCCTTGCCTACACGTGGGAGCTGAAATACACTCCACATGTAAATTAGATTGTAGTAGTCCCGAAGAAGCCATTATCCGGGATAGGTCCTGATGCGCGCGAGATCTCCTCCTCCCATTATCTGGGGTACTTGCTCGCATCGCATAATAGTCGGACCGCTAGGGAGGAGGAAGACAGGGAGGGATAGAGAGGGAGACATAGGCTCTTATATAGGGAATATCTGATTTCCTACGCGCAGCGACTAATCTTCGTCACTCCGCGTCGAAAAGGCTTCTGTATTTGTCGCACGCTGAAACTCCGAAACGCATCCCCAGCAGCGTGACAGTCGCGCAGTCGCCCAGCGCAGGCAGCGCAGCGCAGCAGCCAGCTCAGCAGCATGGCTGACGTGGACCCGACCGTGTTTGTGCTGGTAGTGGTGGCGATGCTGCTAATGGCCGCCGGAGCGGTATCCTGGTTCATGTCATCGACTAGACCGGCGAAAGACCCTGCTGCTAAACGACGGGTAAGCGGTATTGGGGGCACGTGAGCGTGCGGGCGCGGGGAAAGGTTAAAAGGAGAGGGAGTTGGGGGGGACGGGGGAAGGGGGAACGGGGGAAGGGAAGAAGGGGGGAAGGGGGAAGGGGGGAAGGGGGAAGGGGGAAGGGGGGAAGGGGGGAAGGGGGGAATGGGGAACCGCAGGACCAGTGGGGTCGATGGTGGGTTGGGCAACGGGGTCTGAACGACCTCCGACGGTCGTAGCTTCTCTGTCTGTTATGCCGCTTTTGAGAAGTCAGAAAAACCGGCTGATGTGGACTGTCTCGTATGGCCCTAGGCCGTCTATTCCACTCCTCAATCGCTACACGTTCGGTACTTCATCCCCCCTCTCTTGCCATGTTGCGCGTCTCCCCCCTCTGTTCCACGTGTTCCGCCCGGCAGGCGGGCGACGAAGAGGAGGAAGCGGAGGCGGCGGAAGGCGGAACGGCGACGGCGGGTGGTCGACGGAGAGGAGGGGGGGCGGCGGCGGGTGGGGGAGCGCGCGGAGGGGCCGCGCGGATGCGGATGCGGAGAAACCGACAGGCGGCGGCGGCTGCTGCGGCGGAAGATGAGGGTCACGCGGACAGGGAGGGGGGGGAGGGGCGGAGGGAGGAGGAGGAGGAAGAGGACGAGGGGGGAGCGGGAGCGGACGGACGGAGGGATCGCAGGAGACGAGAGAGAGAGGCGAGACGACAGGTAGGAGGATGAAAGAGGTGCCCTTTGAGTCCACTTGAAAGATGAAAGAAGAAAGAAGAAGAAGTAGAGCTCACTTGTTGACATTTCTCCTCTAAGGTGGCGCTTCACCATTCCCCAATCCCCATTCCCCAATCCCCCATTACCACTTCCCATACCTGGCGCACACACTGTCTCCTGCTGATTTGTGGGTGTGTGTGCCCGCGTGCATGTGCTTGGATGTGCATATGTGTGCGCGCGCGTGTGTGTCTCTGCGTGTGCATGTGCATGTGCCCGTGTGCGTGTGCATGTGCATGTGCATGTGCATGTGCATGTGCATGTGCCTGTGCCTGTGCATGTGCATGTGCATGTGCCTGTGCCTGTGCATGCGTGCGTCTGTCTGTGCGCACCAGGCGGAGGCAGCAGCACGGGAGGCGAAGGAGGAGAAGCGGGACGCGTACGCGGAGAGGCAGAGGCAGAAGGAGGCGGAGAGAGAGGCGGAGGAGGCAAAGAAGGCGCAAGAGGCGGCGGAGGCAGAGGCGCGGCGGCAGCAGGAGGCGCAGGAGGAGCTGGACTCGTGGAAGGGCATGTTCTCGGTGGAGGGGGAGGGCACGGTGCAGGGGGACGAGGAGGAGGAGAGCCAGGGGCTGCTGGGCGAGTTCACGGACTACATCCGGGTGAGGAGAGGGGGGGGGTTGAGGGGGGGGGAGGGGGGGGGGGGGGACGTCTGGCCGTTTCCCGCCTTCTTGCGGTGCCCCCATCCCTTCCTCCTAGTGAGGAGTCTATTTTTGAGGCGCCTCAAAAATAGTGTGCACAACGCCACGAGTGCGTGCTGCTGGTGGACCTTGATTGAAGTGCTGTGCCATCAATCAAGGTCCTCCATCAATCAAGGTCCTCCATCAATCAAGGTCCTCCGTCAATCAAGGTCCTCCGTCAATCAAGGTCCTCCGTCAATCAAGGTCCTCCGTCAATCAAGGTCCTCCATCAATCAAGGTCCTCCATCAATCAAGGTCCTCCATCAATCAAGGTCCTCAATCAATCAAGGTCCTCCATCAATCAAGGTCCTCCATCAATCAAGGTCCTCCATCAATCAAGGTCCTCCGTCAATCAAGGTCCTCCATCAATCAAGGTCCTCCGTCAATCAAGGTCCTCCATCAATCAAGGTCCTCCGTCAATCAAGGTCCTCCATCAATCAAGGTCCTCCGTCAATCAAGGTCTCCGTCATCAGTCCTCCGTCAATCAAGGTCCTCCGTCAATCAAGGTCCTCCATCAATCAAGGTCCTCCATCAATCAAGGTCCTCCATCAATCAAGGTCCTCAATCAATCAAGGTCCTCCATCAATCAAGGTCCTCCATCAATCAAGGTCCTCCATCAATCAAGGTCCTCCATCAATCAAGGTCCTCCATCAATCAAGGTCCTCCATCAATCAAGGTCCTCCGTCAATCAAGGTCCTCCATCAATCAAGGTCCTCCATCAATCAAGGTCCTCCATCAATCAAGGTCCTCCATCAATCAAGGTCCTCCATCAATCAAGGTCCTCCATCAATCAAGGTCCTCCGTCAATAAAGGTCCTCCATCAATCAAGGTCCTCCATCAATCAAGGTCCTCCATCAATCAAGGTCCTCCATCAATCAAGGTCCTCCGTCAATCAAGGTCCTCCATCAATCAAGGTCCTCCATCAATCAAGGTCCTCCATCAATCAAGGTCCTCCGTCAATCAAGGTCCTCCGTCAATCAAGGTCCTCCGTCAATCAAGGTCCTCCATCAATCAAGGTCCTCCATCAATCAAGGTCCTCCATCAATCAAGGTCCTCCATCAATCAAGGTCCTCCATCAATCAAGGTCCTCCATCAATCAAGGTCCTCCGTCAATAAAGGTCCTCCATCAATCAAGGTCCTCCATCAATCAAGGTCCTCCATCAATCAAGGTCCTCCATCAATCAAGGTCCTCCGTCAATCAAGGTCCTCCATCAATCAAGGTCCTCCATCAATCAAGGTCCTCCATCAATCAAGGTCCTCCGTCAATCAAGGTCCTCCGTCAATCAAGGTCCTCCGTCAATCAAGGTCCTCCATCAATCAAGGTCCTCCATCAATCAAGGTCCTCCATCAATCAAGGTCCTCCATCAATCAAGGTCCTCCATCAATCAAGGTCCTCCATCAATCAAGGTCCTCCATCAATCAAGTTCTGCCCTTTCCAGATCGCTGCCCCCCCTCCGCTCACATTTTTTTCCCCACCCCCCTCCCGCCAGCCCGCCCTGCGTGCTGCTGGAGGACTGTGGAGCGTCGTTGACTCTCCCCTGCTGCATAACCTCCTGTCACCAATGCCCTCGCCGTGCCTCGTGCCCTCCCCCCCCCCACCTCCCTCCCTCCCTGCCTGTGCAGCGCCACAAGTGCGTGCTGCTGGAGGACCTTGGAGCGCGCTTTGGGCTCAGAGCGGTGGTGCGTGGGGGTCTGCTGGGTGGCTGGGCTGCTGAGAGTGGGGTTTGGGAAGGAGGGAGGTGGGGGAAGCGGGGGTGGGGGGGGGTGGGGAGAGAATCTGGTGGGTGCTTATTGAGAGAGGTGTTAGTATGCTTGTGTCAGTATACGTCTGATTGCTCTCCCCATCTGATTGCTCTGCCCGTCTGATTGCTCTCCCCATCTGATTGCTCTCCCCATCTGATTGCTCTCCCCATGTGCTTTCTCCCCACGTATCACCAACCCCACCCCTTATTCCTCACTGCCCTGCAACCCCCCATCCTCCCCACACACTCCCTTGGCTCAAGCACATCCCATCCTCTATGGTTACCAACAATTGGCTCCTTTCTCTTGTAGTTGCCGATTGCCGACTGACGGCATCTCAACAGCGCGCTCGGGGTCTGCGCTTCCCTTACTGTCAACCCTTGTGAATCGTTGCATATGGGGGATATAGTAAATTCTTTTGTGAAAGTGTGAAAATTTCCACGCCGCATCATCGTCCGCTGTGTGTGTGTGTGTTCCGTTGCGCATCATCGTCCACTGGCCCCATTCCCTGCCTATGCATGTCAGGACGTGGTCAACCGCGTCGTAGCACTCGAACAAATGGGTATGTGCGTGCCCCTCTGCTCCCCTGCTGCTCCCCTGCTGCCCCCTTGCTGCCCCCTTGCTGCTCCCCTGCTTTCTGCCCTGCTGCTCCCCTGCTGCTCCTCGTGCGCCCTCTCGTTAGATGCTGCCATTGCTCTTAGCTGCATGTGTCTCCCTTTGTTAGCTGCTGCCTTGGTGACTTTTGAGTCGACTCAAAAGCACGCGTCTCCCGGTTGCAAGCTGTTGCCTTTCCCCGTACCTGACTCCCACCCCCTTAGTTGCTGCCTTCTGCCACCAGTAAGTTGAGTTGGTTGTTGGAATTTCTCAAGAACCAGCTAACTCCCACCCCGTTGGCCTCTGCCTCTCTGCCCCTGTCGGGCGTCTCAGCTCGTATGCAAGGTTGCTGCACTCTTAGAGCAGCTCCATGCTCCCTTCCTTGCTTGCAGTCTGATGCCTGATCCACAAGCACTAGTTCTTGCACTGTTCCATCTCTCTCTCTCCCCCCTTTCAGTCTTCTCCCTTGCCCATCCTCTTCCCGCATCCCTTCCTCTCTTGCTCCCACCAATCTCCCTCCCAACCCCTTATCACACCAAAAACAATTTCTCATTTCCCTCCCCCCCCGCTCTTCACAGGGCGCATATCAGGAGTGATGGACGACAGAGGCAAGTTCATCTTCATCTCTCCGGAGGAAATGAAGGCTGTAGCCAGCTACAT